TAAAAAGTTCAAATTGGATACCTGTAATTGGACACCCACGTGATCGTGCACCAATTACGTGTCAAATAGGCGCACAGAGAACCAATCACGATTGAGAATTTTATTATAGATACGATAAGAATTATACCTGGAGGAATACTATGGGCTGTTACCTGATTTTCATTTGTACTGAGTCCTTTTAGCTTTCTTTTATTATCAGTCTTTCAAGTTGCTTTATGTATGGAGATCTGCTGTGCATTTCAATGGACAACTCATTTCAAGAACCCATTTGGGCTACAGTGGAAAATCATGTTGCAGACCAAAGGTTGGTAACCTGAGTAGTTTTAAGTCAAATATGTAGCTGAAATTGGTGGTTTCAATTCATTTTATAAGTTTTAAATTGTCCAAACTACTGAGTAATTTAAGTTGGCTCCCTACCACCCTGATGCAGGCTGCAAACAAAAGCTGTGCATGCTCAAAGGAAAAAGGTATTGCTATGTGTTTTTCAATAATTTATTATTTAATGAGGTGAACATGACCACAAAAAGCAAAAATGACAGTGGATATTCTTTCCTTTCCTTCTATGAAATTCCGTAAAATTTGACAGCATGGTAATTAATATTTAACTCTAGTTGGGGCCTGTTTTTCAGGGAAATCTGTCGGATCAGTTTTTCTCATTGGGAAAAGACATAAATTTGCAAAATCAAAAAAAAAACTACCGGTACAAACTCTACTTATTTCACTTTTGAAATTCATACTGCTGGATCCACTGTACTGTGAAAGGTTTGGAAGAATTCACCAAAGGAAATTCAAGAAAATCAGTAAAGAAAACCATATCAATGGTGAAAACATGTTTGTTTGTGATTTTTTATTCAAGACTAAAAGGCATGGTTTTAGCAAAGATGATTATAAAACACTATTTTATCATTGCTTATTACATTACTTTTGATAAGGTGGAGAGAACTGCATGGGTGTAAAAATGATTATCCTATGGAACCACCTTAACCATTCTCAAAACTATTGTACAAATTTTAATAAACTTTATAGTTTATGTTACCAGATATTGTGTAACTCTGAAACCCATTGACAAGAGTGACGCACATGTATTTTTATTTTAATAAATTTCAGGATTGTCTGGATTATTCTGTGTGCTGGAGCAAATGACATAAATGAAGCACAGTTTATTATGAAAATGCAGGAAGTTACTGACAGAAGTATGTTTATGTAAGAGTTTCATGCTCTTGCTTATTTTTTGTGTTCAGCACAATGCCAGGGGCCTGGAATCAAATACCCTAATGAAGATGGCATTGCAGTTTTGTCACTAGATGACTGCGGTGTACGTTTTTAATAGAGAGAGTTAAAAGTGTTCATAAGGAAGATCCCTAAACATAAAGGGACAAATTTGGGATGGTGTAATTCATATTAATTTGGTAAAAATAGTGACAGATGGTTTGAATAATTTGCCAAAGAATATAGAGTAAAATGGGTTAGAGGCTCTGAATGACCAGTACCACATACATGTACCCAATGGAAGCTGATCCAAGTATCCTTACCCCACCCCTTCTCTCAGCCACCTCCCTCCTCACCACCCCCACCCCACCCCAGCACTTTTAGACTTACAGACCTGGTTTCTGGCTCAGCTAGGATTTCCACTAACAGCTTCCTTCACTAAGGATGGCTGCCCAGTCTTAATTAGCCCATTAAGGTTATTTCGGGCAGTCATGTACTCACTTTATTTTAAAACTTATTTTTGTAAACTTTAATTCTAGGTATGTGTACCAATAAAGTTGTTGTTGTTGTTGTTGT